ATGCATACTACTTAAGTTGTTAAAAGTACACCAACACACATCAAGACCGCAAGCAGAGAACGCGGAGTAACGCTCATGCTTGCGGCGCAAATGGTGTCCTCGAGCATGCCTCCGCCTCAATGCGATCACAGGGGGCTTAGTGTGCGAGCAAATAACCGCAATTACGCCACACACACATGCCGGCTGGCTGGCTGGCCTCAGTTGATGGCCAAGTGGCCAGCTGGGAAGGACCATCTTGGAGGATGGGTGTGTGGAGCGTATGGTGCATTGAGCCAAAGAAGCTGTGTACGTGGCACAACAGTAAACAAGCCTGATGACGTAGAGGATACAGTTGCCTCAATTATATGTCGTTTTTTTTTTCAAGGCTAGATTAAACGTTTATTGCAAAGAGGATGGGGGTCCAGAACTCGTTTATTTCCCACCTTGGAATGAATCCGTGGGAAAAGTAGATTTAAATTAATATAAACAGTCTTTCGGAAGTAGCATGAATGCTGCTCAAGCGGACTGTGATATACAGTACGGCCGAGGAGTCCTGCGAAATGGCGAAATTTGCAAAAGATTGGAAATCGCTCGAAACCCGGCATTAAGTAGGGTGGTAATGTTGATTATTGGGTAGCCTTATTCGGTCACGACAGGATGCTTGTTTTATAACGGGCTGCTTTCTGACTACTTACAGGAAGTAAATTCTGCAAAAAATGGCTACTTCAGTAGTATGCATTAAACTCATCGTTTTTATTGTCCTAAGAAATTCAAATATATTCTATAGAAAAACATTCACGAAGAGGCAGAGTGTTCTTTTTCTGAAGATGGGTAGACGAGACAATTACCCGAATCGTCGGATACAAAATAAACCTCTCCTGGTGTACACTATTTCTTCTGCTTCACACTTCAGAATTTTGTTTTACATTTCATGAGATAGGAAATCTACCGTAGAAGCGAATAGCTTAGTTCCAAGACGCAGTTCAGAAGAAGAAGGTGATGATGCGATCGTTCATCTGAACTATAACTTTTTCTCTCTTTCTCTCCCTCTATTCACTGCCGTCTGCGAGGCTGGGCTCCAGTATGAAGCTGAAGCTTCCGATCAATAAGTTGGTTGCCTTAGTGAGTGAGTACGTAGTGGCAGCTAGCGGTCACTGTGGAAACCCGTGAATGCCGACGCCCGCCAAGCTTGCAGTCACGGTAACTGCCCTTAACACGCGCTCATGTGTGAACGACCGCACCCTGTTCACATCTCAGTGTCGGGTACAACCTACTAACACGCCCAGTCTCGGCTGTGCCCATGCCAGTATGTAACTTTGCGCGGTCCAACCAATCACCTTCAGAGCTGTATAAGACGAAGGCAACTAACGGTGGCCGGCCGGATGAATGTCGCTAAACATCACGGAGAACGCACTGCATTCGTCCGAGTCAAATCTCCCCCTACCTATTCTTCCAATACTTCTGTACAAAATAAACTTCTCCTACCACTCTGACCTTCTCCTCCCAATGAACCGAGCCTGGAAAATCGTAGCTGTTAGGGTTAACCTTATTAGCCTTGCCATCACTCGATAAGTATACTCCTCCTCCTTCTCCTCCCCTTCTCGCCACCATCATCATCAATATCGGTTGCTTAAAACGCAGTGTATTTAGATTAACCGACAAGCAAAGTTCGCTTGGAAGGAAAGATGAGGGAAGGGTAAACTAGACTAGACTACTGGGAAAGAAAGCCGCCTCGAACACCCACCTGGGGTAGGCCGGATCTGTCTTCTCCGTCCCCAGCACCGGACGCACGTAGGTGTTGTAGAACCACTTGATGCGGAAACAGAGGTTCAGGTAGTCGGAGGTCTTGATCCGCAACTGCGACAGCCGGGTGGTGATCTCCGTCTGCTCTGGCTGGGCATCCATGGCATTGCTGCTGCGGGGGTTTGGCTCCGGACTGGTCAGCATGCGAACGGCTTCGTAGTGTTGCAGCAGGCCGACGGAAAGGTCCTCCGACAGGAAGGTCCACATCATCTCCGCGGACATGTCGCCTAGGTTGACGTCTTGTGGGAATCTGTGGCAAGAGCAGGCAGGCAGATGAGTTAGGCGATTTCTAGAGCTACGTACAGTGTGTATCCACGGAAAGAGCTGCAAATTGGCCTTCTTCCGCTGGCTACAGCCAGGGAAACAAAATCGAAGAATGTCGCAAGCAGCTCTCCCCCAAACAAGTCAATCTTGGCTCTGGTTAGTGGAGCAATTTTTTGGGGAGGGGCATCAGCAATTCCTTCAATACCTCCTATTCTAATACGGCAAGCCGAAAGAAGACTTAAGTTATTGCACTACCGGCCCTCCTCCCTCCTCAGGTTCGCCGAAGTGGGTTGTCATAAATTGAAAGATAGGCATGAGAAAAACCCGATAACTCGACTGATTGTATGGATTACGTTATACTGTATGCCTCGTCCCTCACTTCTTCAGATACTTCCAATATCTACCATTACTGATGTTTCAAACATCGAGATTGCCAGAGGAAGAAGAAGGATGTGTGATCGCCTTTATTGGTCAGACATTTCGGACCATTCTTCGAATCCATCATCAGAGACGGTCACCGATAGGGGGCGCTGAAGGGTGCACTATTTATAGGACGCAGTTGCCAGGCCGCCAAGGGCCTAATCCAATACCCCGATCTGGTGTTCGTCGTTGGTGGTCGTAAAAGGTGCAATGATTGCTCGTTAGTCCGTGCCCGAGTCGGTAAATGTCGCAATTTCATCACCGTTCTTGCTATTTGGCGTGATGATGACTCGGCGATTGCATCATGTACAATCACCAGTCGTGGACACGAGAATCGAGTTTTTTTAATAAGTCACGTGGCCGCATGCCCTTGGCTGGCTGCCTGTGATTATGGCTCCTTCTCTTTAAACGCTTTCTGGAACTCACCTCGTTGTTTCTATTGGCCAGAGTGATTATTATTTATACCATCTAGCTATCCTAAGACAGAAATTACCTACAGACTCGGAGTCCTTTCCCAGAGACAAACTTTATTTTTATTGTCACTGGGGAAACTTCATCCATTATACCTTTGTATGGATTATATCGTTCCACATATGTATGGATGTAATGACCACTGAATGCTTCAACTCGAAGATTAACCAGTTTCCCATCGATCCACCCATTGAAAAATATTGGATGCGTCATTTCCGTGATATACAGGGTGTCCCAAGAAATGCATACACATCTAAAATAATTTTAAATTTGGTGTTTATATTAAATTATTATTTCAAAAATTTGAAGAATATTTATAGGTATCATTTTATTGTTTTTTTCACTGCATTTTGACTATTGCAACAGGGGCTGAATTGGGATAAGGCATCAAAAATGAACGCACCTAAGTACCAAGAGACATTTTTCATGGTGTGAGCTAATCCATTACTTCGCGTTGTCAGCAGTGTCGTCATCAAAATGGACGTCATTTTCAGAACATTCAGTGAAAAAAACAATGAAATGAAACTTGTAAATATTTTTAGATCTTTTTAATAATAAAGTTATGATAAGCACCAATTTAATACCTATGTAAAATCTGTATACATTTTTTTGGGACACCTTGTATATATAGATTCAATTCTGCGCGTTACTTGGTCGGTAGCGGTTAGCTCGAAGCTGTATATCTGCACGATCGTTTCACGTGATCGAATGATCACCAGGCAACGCACGGACGATATTCACCTCGGAATTTCCAGTCAAAAGCGGTAATGGTAAGTCCTCAGTAGTATGGCTTCACAGCTCCACACTTTGTCCCTCTCTTAGTGTCTCTGACAACGCCCATACCACCTGCATATTTCCAAACGCACTGCACAAAAAATTCCTGATTGCGAGCTCCGTCACAAATCGAATGGAAAGTGTTCATCTCAGAAAAGTTCTAGTGCTGCTGTTGCTGCTAGATCAGTAGCCTTTATAAGTCTGCAAAGAGTTCCCGCATTCGTGCAGATGGTGTGAGAGCGCATACAAGTCAATTCAAGTCAAGTTTACTAAGGGAAATATAGGCAAACACATTTGAGCCCCCTATTGGTACACAGTAGTCAAGAAATGCATCGGCACAGCCGAACATTGCAAAGAAGTCGTTGACACAATTTTAGGCGACTACTCGCTTGTTTCAAGTAATACACTCAAATGTGGTGATGTCAATCAACACGAGCCAGCAATGTAACTGAGCAAGAAGAGCAGACGGAGCTAATTGAAGATAAACAGCCGCCCTATATAATTTAACTGCAAAAGTTTTGTCGTCGTTCCACACCCACAATATAAATGTGGTGTCTGGTTCTGGTCTATGGCCTCTCGAAACTGCGTTATGCTCGCCGGACACGCCCAGGTAACTACTTCAGTTGAAGCCAATCGAGGGTGACAGGTGGGTCCCACCCACCCACCTCCAAACGGAAATATTATCTACTCAGCTGCGGCAACGTTGGTCAGTCTGGCGGTTTGGAGTGAGTGTTTTTTTTTGAGATGTCAACCAATCAGAAAGGAGGACAGGTGTGTTAGTCGTCGACATCCACCTACAGACACCACATCAGATACAATCGGTGGGATAAGAATGCTATTCACCTGACGTTTCGAAATCCGTCGCGGATCCAGCCTTAGAGACAATAGCAGAAACGAGTAATTAATACACAGGGAGTTGTAGTATTTACAGGATAAAATCCTTATGCTACTACATACCTATTACAATTAACAGCCACCCACTGTTGAGGAAAGTTGCCCACTTCCAACAGAAGCAGCCTCTCCGCTAAGTGCCGTTTAAACTGAGGGATAAAAACAGCACATTCCTATGTGGCGGAAATGAGGGTCGTCATTCCATAAAAAGGTAGACGAGAGGAAGAAAGTTTAATATACAGGAAATCACGTAGGTTGAGAAGAAGAAAAAACTCGATCGCTGGGACAATATCTTTAGTCGCCTGACGTTTCGACATCCGTCGCGCATTCATCATCAGAGACATGAGTAGGAAATAGTAGCAGAAAAGTGGGGGTTTTTGACGTTAAGAACTCGTGTCCATCCACTCAGATTCCTGTTTGGACCCCAAATCGGTAGAGAGTCGTAGCAGGGCGGCCTACTATTGGCCTGAGTTGCTCTAATATTTGTCTTGGTCTATACGCTTCCCTTGTTAACCAATAGGAGTTGTTCTTATAGTTTTCTTGGAATATAGGCTTCTCTTGCCAACCAAAAGAAACTGCTCTTAGGGTTGTTCGAGGCTTTTGGGCAACCAACGTTGGCTGTAGTAAGGCATTCCCCTTACTGGCGTGGATTCGAATCCCACTGAGGCTGCCGAGGTTTTCACAACTGGATCAAATGCATTATCGAAATCTGCCATCACTAGCATCATCATGATCATCGCCACCAACACCATCTTCTTCTGCTTCTTCGATGTTTCCTTCTTTTCTCTTACGTGCGTCATAAAAGACAATTTCAACGGCGTTTTAGCAGCACCAGTTTTTTGTCTCCCTTCTGCGCTGATGACGCAATTGTCCTTCAAACCAGAAAGCATTTGCCTAGAACGCCACTCAATAAGACGCAGTTGCCAAACCAAAGGTCCCAGACGCAGCCTACCAGAGGACGCAAAAAGCAAATAACACGCTTGCCAAAACGACGATGATGATGATGATAGGAGAATATCAGGGCCCAGCATGGCGGCTGAGCAAGTGCTGGAACGCCTCCCTCCCCCCACCCCACCGTTTGGCTACTCCAGGTTTTGGACACGGGTATTAAATCAGAGGACAAAAACAAAATACGCAAAAAGTAAGTACAATCTGACAGCCAACTGTGCATTATGACCTATTCGGTGGAAGATCGTCCGCACGATTGGGTGCCATGCAACCAGATAACTTGACATTCACGTGCGGTAAATTGGCGTGTGTTTATGTTGGCCTATGTAACGCTAGACAAACCACCCACCCGCGCCCTCCAGTCTTCTCGACTTTTGTCCTGACATCGGGTACAGGCGTGGGGGTGGTGAGAGAGAGCGAGAGTGGGGTAGATCCTGCGCTTGTCTACGTTCACTATAATTCAGCTACGGTCATCACGTCTGCCTTCAGCTTGCGGAAGCACGTGGTCGACGACGGTTGAACTACGAGATAAACTTACAGAAAAAGAGCGTAGCAACTAGGGAAAGTGCGAAATCGTTCCACAGGGAGATGAC